AGTTCTGCAGTGTTCGCTGCATTCCTGCAGCAGAGAAGTGATCCTGAGAAGTGAACTGCTGCCCTGGATGGGCTCCAGCACGGCTGAGAATGAGCCAACCTCGGGGCTTTGTCTCCTGCAGACAGACACGCCTATCCTTTCTCGTTGCAAGCAGTGAACCCCACAATCCTCTGACGGGTTTATGAAACCATGTAAGTCAGCAAAGAAATCCAGGGAAATCCAGGGGCTGCGTGAGATATTTTTGTGGCTGGTTGGTACCCAGACTGCAGGAGCAGCATGTTGTTCTGTGCTCTCTGGAAAGTACAAGTGAGAAAAAAAAATAATACCAGGGTTAGCTTGCTGGCTGTGACCGATGCCACTGTGACCTGCCTGAAATCCCTGCTCTCCCACCCCCCACCCCAGCCCCTCTTACCTCTGATCTAGTGACTGTGATTAAGGGCAAGCCACCAGGAGCAGGCCTCTGGGGAGGAAATACATTACCTTACCTAGTTCTGTGGAGCGAGCATTTAGGGGTTTGAACCTATCACCATCAATTCTGCTTGGACAGCAGTAAATCCCCATCACTTCTACTACCGCACGTGTCCTGCATGGAAATGTGCGCCTTGTTGTTTATCTCTTCAAAAGACATTTCTTGTTCCTGCAGCAGTCTAAATTTTATATAACTGCATAACACTTTATAGTGTGTCACTTGAAAAGGCTGTGCTCTAAAATTAGGCATATTTTATGTTAAAACAGGTAAAGTTTTCTTTCTGTGTATTTCCCAAGCGATGGGGGAAGAGTCGTGGAGTATTTTTGTAGTGAGCATAATATATAAACAAATAAACTCACTACGAGAAACAGAGAGGGAAGATACCTGTGGTTTGGACAAACTAGTCATTTCTCTTGACTTTATTCATGTCTCTCTTGAAAAAAGTTAAAAATTTGTGGAACACACCATACACTCCAATAGTGAGCTGTCGTGTGCCAGCATTTTCCTCTTTTTTAACAGTAATTTTCAAGGTTACTTTTAAAGAAAAGTCACTAATAGGGTAGAAAATGAAGATATTTTGATCAGGAAAAAAGTGGGAGTGACTGTAGTTATTTTCAAGAATTTAGATAAACTAAGTAGCATATTCATCTCCCTGCTTTGAAATCTGATGTCTGCAATTGTTTCTAAAATGTCACAATACAAGATGCATGGCATGTTCCTCTGGTAGTATTCATTGCATTTTACACTGGAGTGTTTGGGCAAGCCACAACAACCATAAGGTCATTGCTATCGAGCCTTCCAAATGAACGTGCTCATGAACCGTCTTTGTGGTGCAGATCAGCGCATATTCATGTATCCCAAAGAGGAGACATGTGTGTTACAAGCACCCTAGATTCTACAGACTGTGGTATTGTCACAAATCCACAAGCTCCAAATTCCACAGAGACATGGAAAAGCAGCAAATGCCATTAACAGCAGCGTGTCAGCAGTGGAACACCATTTTCTATGGAAGCAGATAGAGCTTATTTTGAAGTAGATGCAACTTGGTAAATTATTAAACCTCTCTGGGCCTCCCGTAGATGCTTTTTCTGGAAAAAAAAAAAACAAAACACTGTCATTATTTGATGATGGAAAATGCTTGTCCTGTGGTGGGTGTTCTGTATGTATGTATCTCTCTCTCTGCTTTGACAAGCCGATGCCAACTTTGATAATACTGACACAGCCACTGATGGTTAGGTGGATGCGAGATCTCTGTTTCGCTCTGACTGCTTCAGATCTATTCTCACTGCTCACTGATGGCAGAAGTCTCCTGCTCCTAGATAAGGCTTTTCTTGGGTCCTGATCTCTAAACATTCCAGCCTACTGCTGAACTTTTCAAAATTAGATGCCAGTGCAGAACTTTCTGCTGTGCCAAACGGTTTAGAATAACAAGATGAAAAGTCGCTAGACCCAGTGTCCTCGCCAATTGAAACATATTTTGCTGGCACTGGAGCAGGAGTAAATTATTTTCAGTAATTAAGAGAGGTATGCATTATGTATTTTATGTTAATGTGAATATATTTTACTTTTTAGTTAAATGACCTCAAACACTCCTTTAATGAATTGCAGAAATATTAAGAATAGTCAGAGTGGTAGAAATTCTATTAATGATCTCTACCAACAGACTCCTATGTTGTTTTAAAGAAAATTCCTGTGTGTGTGTGTGTGTGTGTGTGTGTGTGTGTGTGTTGGCAGTCTGCAGCTTATTTCATGTGTATGGAGAATACATTTAGATGGGAATAAATGCACAAGAGTCCAACAAGATTCAGACATCACCTTCTAAATCGATAAGGACTGTGCTACAAATAGCCCTAATGCAGAATCATTTATGATGAGAAGAAAAAGTCAGGTTTTGATTTTTTTAGAAAGATTTTTCTGAACCTGCTCCCTTTACTTTCAATTTGATACACAGTGAATACCACATGGGCTTTCAAAACAAAGACGCTGGGAGAAAGATTGAAGGAAGATGACTTGGCAGGCAGTAAGGAAAGTAGAGGTAAGGCATCCAAAAGCCTGATTGTGGTGGCTCCAGGAGCCCCTCTAAAACAGAGCAGTCTTGGAGAATCCGGTGGCCATGCTAAGAGCTTTTCTAACAAAGGACCCGAGGTCTCTATTCACAAATAGGCTGACCTGTCTCTCCTCCCTCTTGCATAAGTCAGTTCAGGAAAGGGCCCCTCAGCCCTTCTCTTCTCACACCTTGCTATTCCCACGTGCCTCTTTTCAGCTCCCCCAAAGCCGCAGCAGGTGCCTGCTGGTTTCTTCTCTCTGCAGCATCCCGCTGCCCCTGCTGCCTCACTCCCTTCCAGCAGCTGCCTCTGCAGTCAAAGGCTCCGGTGAAGAGCCAAAGAGCCGTTCCTTAGCAAACAATGAAAACCAAAGCAAACTGCTGAAGCACTGAAGATCCGAGGGTGATGACCCACAACTTCTGTGGCAGGTAACTGGTGCAAAACCAGTGAACAACTGCAAACCTAATTCGAGGGTAGATACACTCACACTGGGTGTGAAACAACATGATTTTCATGGAGCAAATTTTGAAAAAATCCACTTTGCCACTTTTGATTCATGTATGGATTATTAAGAGATGACGCATGTTTGGCTTAAAACAGGTCTCTGCTACAAAACTTGCCCCAAGAAGTCTGTCTCACAGTCGAGTGACTGATGGATGGCAAGACCAAGGTTAAATCAGCTACAAAAATGACCAGAGAGAGTATCCTACCACGTCTACCAGGGCCACACAGCACTCAGGGCAGTCCAATGACTTTTCACTTAACTCTTCAAGTATCTGAGCACGGGAGGACCTTGGCGATCGCTTGGTCTTACTAGTTTTATAAGAACAACATTGCCGTTTACTGAAACTGCATTATTGGCGACAATAGAAATTGTTTTCAGAAACCTGAAAGCTGCGGTCCTGCCCTCTAGGCACAGATGGTGGGGTTGGAGAGGACCTCCGGTAAGCCTTACCCCCAGCTCTCCACAGAGGTGGCCAGGGACCTCCGGCTGCTGTGGCATCACTCGGGGAGAGAGCTTCACAGAGAACGACATTCTGGCTTCTCCACAGGAAAAGTTATGCCCTCCCAGTTGGCATCTGCTTAAAAAGAAATCAAGCTGCCTCTCAAATGTTGTCATGCAAACAAAACAAAAGCTAAATATGTGCTTAGAAAAGCCTTAGGCGTTTTATGTAAATCTCTGCAACCTTCCCCGAGATCCCAGAGGGGCTCCTAACAAAAACGCGTGTGGAAATGCGAACCACATATGGCGTGCACATAGCTATCTAAAACAGAAGCTTTCTAAAAAGAGATCCGTGGGTTTTGGACTGCCCCTCTTAACATAGCGAACCCGGGCAGGGATCAAGCGGCTACTTTAGCTCTTCACCCCATGAGGAGACCCGGAGACGCCCGGTGCCCGAGTTATCCCGGGAGACCACACCCGACACCCCGGGGCTGGCCGCGGCAGCTTCCCTCTGAAAATCAGCCACCTGCAAGGCTTGTCAAAATCATCAGATTGGGAGCTACACTAGGTGCACTGGGAAAGCAAAGGGTTTTGGTGGGACAGAGGTGGTGGCGTCAAGCCTTTCAGGTAGTGATTTAGCTCAGGAAAAATTCAGGCAGCCTGAAGTCTGCCGCCCGCAGTAGAGTGCGCCGTTGCCAGGCAAGCCGATCTCCCGAACATTTTCAAACTCATCTCTGCTTCCTTCCAAGGACGCATTTGGCACACCCAAAGGGCCGGAGGCTTCCTTCCCCACCAAGAAGGAAGAAAATCCCGGTAGCCAGAGGCACTGCCCTCAAGCTTTAGAAATGCCGAAAGCAACACCCGCAATGCCTCGCAGCAATCCCACACGGCAGAGTGTCCGGCAGAAGGGCAGATCCCTTACAGGCTGAAAGAGGCACATTAAAGGAAGGGGGAGGGGAGGGGAAGCCAGCAGGAAGGGGATTATTGAAAGAAAGTGCCAGAAAAAGCTACAAAGCAACCTGAAACTTTCCTAAGTGCCGCATACATGCAACTCTAAACCTTTTTTTTTTCCCATTCCAAACCACTAAAGGCCCAGCACAGTCGCCACAAACGCAAATGAGGATGTTAAGGAGGTCCGTGGTGGGAAGGGCTGAGCTGGATGCCAGGGTCTCCGAGAAGCACCGGGACCTGGAGAACTAGGCTATGGGTCGGCGTTAAGAGCCCACGATAGGGGATGCTTGAGGACCTGAGTCATCCAGGGTGCAGGTGTTCAGCAGTCCAGGCTTGAGTGGGTGGGAAGGGAAAGAACATGAGTGAGGGGCTACAGGGTCTCAGAGAACATCAAAGGCCTCGGAGAAAAGTGCAGAGGTCGAGAGCCGCAGCTCGCCCGCCAGCGTTGCTGGCCCCCTCCTTCGCTTTTGCGCAGAATCCTCCCCTTGGCTGCAGCAGCGCGCTGCCCCCACTGGCCGGCGCGCCGTGATCGATCGCAGGCTGCGTCAGTCCTCGCGGCGTATAAATAGGGGTGGCAGGACGGCGCCGAGCCGCACACAGCCATCCATCCTTCCCCTTCCCTCTCTCCCCCGTCCTTCTCTTTCTCTCTTCCAGGCCCGGTCTCGGCCGGAGGGGCCCCGGCAGCCAACATGAGTTCGTACAGCTACGAGCCGTACTACTCCACCTCGTACAAGCGGCGCTATGTGGAGACGCCCCGGGTGCACATCTCTAGCGTGCGCAGCGGCTACAGCACCGCGCGCTCCGCTTACTCCAGCTACTCAGCACCCGTTTCCTCCTCGCTGTCCGTGCGCCGCAGCTACTCGTCCAGCTCCGGCTCCTTGATGCCCAGCCTGGAGAACCTCGACCTGAGCCAGGTAGCCGCCATCAGCAACGACCTCAAGTCGATCCGCACGCAGGAGAAGGCTCAGCTGCAGGACCTGAACGACCGCTTCGCTAGCTTCATCGAGCGCGTGCATGAGCTGGAGCAGCAGAACAAGGTGCTGGAAGCCGAGCTGCTGGTGCTGCGCCAGAAGCACTCTGAGCCATCCCGCTTCCGGGCCCTGTACGAACAGGAGATCCGGGACCTGCGCCTGGCTGCCGAAGACGCCACCAACGAGAAGCAGGCGCTCCAGGGCGAGCGCGAAGGGCTGGAGGAGACGCTGCGCAACCTGCAAGCGCGCTATGAAGAGGAGGTGCTGAGCCGCGAGGATGCCGAGGGCCGGCTGATGGAGGCGCGCAAGGGCGCAGACGAGGCGGCACTGGCTCGCGCCGAGCTGGAAAAGCGCATCGACAGCCTAATGGACGAAATCGCTTTTCTAAAGAAAGTGCATGAAGAGGAGATCGCCGAGCTGCAGGCTCAGATCCAGTATGCGCAGATCTCCGTGGAGATGGACGTGTCCTCCAAGCCCGACCTCTCCGCCGCCCTCAAGGACATCCGCGCCCAGTATGAGAAGCTGGCAGCCAAGAATATGCAGAACGCCGAAGAATGGTTCAAGAGCCGCTTCACCGTGCTGACCGAGAGCGCCGCCAAGAACACCGACGCTGTGCGCGCCGCCAAGGACGAGGTGTCTGAGAGCCGCCGCCTGCTCAAGGCCAAGACGCTGGAGATCGAAGCATGCCGGGGCATGAATGAGGCTCTGGAGAAGCAGCTGCAGGAGCTGGAAGACAAGCAGAACGCTGACATCAGTGCTATGCAGGTGTGGCCGGGTGCGAAACACAGTGCGGGCGGAGGTCTGCAGAAAACTGCAGGGAGTTGAGGGTGCTCAGAAAGTGGAGGCCAGGGCCGAGGCATCCACAGGCGGTTGTTCCGGGTAGCACAGGGTTCCCTGGAGGCATAGTGGGAGGGGTGGGGCACATGGGCGGGGCAGGGGTGCTGCCGCAGTCTGGGTGTGTGCTTGGTGCAATTGAATCTGTGCTCTGCATTGAAGCTGCCCAGCCTGGGAGGGGTCAGGTGGGGCGGGGCAGGGGATGGGGGGGCCAGGGTAGGAGTTGGGCGTGACTCTGGGCCTGCAGAGACATCCATCATCAACGGAGCAGCATTATTTCATTAATGAATATAGCCAATAAGTTTTAATTAGTTTTTAAAAGTTACTATGACTAGTATATTTTTTGACTGGTAAAGTACCAACGGTTCCTCTTCTTAGTAGGTAGATGAGAATGCAGTTAAAACTTATTGCAGGTAATTAGCTTGTCATACTCACAGAAAACCATTTCATTTTTAAGGTTTTCCATCTTCTGGGAAGCAGAAATGCAGGAGATAGCTTAGAGAGAGTATCAACAATCTAGCGACTGACTTAGACAGAAATGGAGTATTTTCTTGAATGTGACCTGGTTCCAGAAGAGCTAATAGCTGAGGAGCCAAGATTTCCTATCATTTCAGTTTCCAGGCAGGCATTTCATGATTCTCTCAAGACTAATAGCTGAAGATACTTCCTTAAAGGAATTTTCTTCCTTTATTCCCTTATTCTTTGTGAAGTTGGATCTTTCATACAAGAAAGATTTTTTTAAAAAGAGCAAGCTGTTGTTTTAGGGGAGATTCTTATTCAAGGTGTGCCCTTGAACTCTAACTGAACCCTGTGTCATTGTCCTAATACAGAGAGAGCAGCAGGAATTCATGCTTAGGTTTTCTTCTCTTTTTGTCTGTCAACAGGACACGATCAACAAACTAGAAAATGAACTGAGAACCACGAAGAGCGAAATGGCAAGATACCTGAAGGAATACCAAGACCTCCTCAACGTGAAGATGGCTTTGGATATTGAGATTGCAGCTTACAGGTAACCACGGGAGGGCCGGGGAGCAGCCAGGAAGCCCTGGGCAACACCCACAGGCCGTCCAGGCTAGGAGATGTTAGCTTCTTTGCTTCCGAGGAGAAAGTATTTAGACAAAAATATAAGGAATTTACCCTGTAATATGAAGTCCTGTTTTTAGCTTCTCGTTACAATCTAAGAAGACTACTTAAGGTATTAGTTCTTTGTTCTTTTTCTCAGTCTCATTCACAAAATTCCTAGCCATTGAGTCTTGATGATTCCCAGCCCTCTCTTGCTGGCATTAGGGGAAGAGATGAGAGGTGGGCCTAGAGCAAATCACTAACTACACTTCCTGGGATGGTTTATTGTTAACCCCACGTTCTACTGGTCTCCCTAGGAAACTCCTGGAAGGTGAGGAGACCCGACTCAGTTTCACCAGCGTGGGCAGCATAACCAGTGGCTACTCCCAGAGCTCCCAGGTCTTCGGCCGATCTGCCTACGGCGGCTTACAGACCAGCTCCTACTTGCTGTCTGCCCGCTCCTTCCCAACCTACTACACCAGCCACGTGCAGGAAGAGCAGATTGAGGTGGAGGAGACGATCGAGGCTGCCAAAGCAGAGGAAGCCAAGGACGAGCCCCCCTCGGAAGGAGAGGCCGAGGAGGAGGAGAAGGAGAAGGAAGAAGGAGAGGAAGAGGAGGGAGCCGAGGAAGAGGAAGGTATGAATAACACAGCCATGCACCTTCACGTGCAGGCTGCACATGCCTGTTTGTTAGGAGAGCTACACGTTAAATGAAGCCCCGCTTGTTCTAGTGCAGCTTTATTCAAACATGATTTTAGGATCATAAGTGATACATTTATCTGTTTATTCCATACACCTTTAGCAAGCACCTATTTATGGGGGAGATAATAGTTCACCCTTCTGCTTTTGTTAAATTGACACATAATTGTAAAAAAATTTCATCTTTTCATATATTTAACATAACTGATGCTTTAAAGGATAAAAAATTACCATCAAACATACAAAAAAGAAATACTCAGACTGGGGTTTGGAGAGGAGCAGGGCACCCAAGTGTAAGTTTCATGTTGTGTGACTATGTGGTCCCCTGGCGAATCACTGACTGGCAAGCCTTGTCTGCTCCCTTGCTTCTGGGTGGATGGCGTTAGCGGCTTGGGGGAAGCTTTCTGACAATTGTGCTTTCACAGCAAATTTTTGCAGAAATGTTTTGACTAGACTGACCCTGGATTTGGAGTTTGTAAATTTTCTCCTTGTGTTCAAGCTGCCAAGGAAGAATCTGAAGATGCAAAGGAGGAAGAGGAGGAAGGAGGTGAAGGTGAGGAAGGAGAAGAAGCCAAAGAAGCTGAAGAGGATGAAAAGAAAGAGGAAGGTGCTGGAGAAGAACAAGCAACCAAGAAGAAAGATTGAGCCCCACGTCCCCTTGACTATCCCAGCAAGAATTCTCCCAGAATCAGGTCAACCTCATCATCAACCAACCAGTTGAGTTCCAGATCTTCTATGAATTAAGAAGTCAATATATGTATAATTCTGAGATGAGTTAGGTTGGACATTCAATGTTGTGCTATGAATTTGCTCCTTAATGCAGAGTATCTGTTTGCTTGCAAGAGTGGCTTTCTGGCTTGCTGCCAGCCTGTGCATGGTCCATGCTTATGAGTTCAGGATCTATGGCAATGTGAACCATTCAGATGTTTACAATAAAAACACAACACGAATCAATGAACTATTTATGTTAATGTTAACCTTAATGGAAAAATACTCGTTTGAACCTTTGGTGGCTAGAAATTAAAGACCTTGAGTTATGTGCAATAAACAGTAAATAAAGTTACACTGAATGACATATTTCTTGCTGTTGTTGTTGAGTCAATTAAAATATATTGCAGATGGCACCGATATGAACTGTATACAAGTGCACTATTCCTTTTTCTTAAGTCAAAATTTTTAGCAGTGACAATATTTTGAAATTCTTAATTGGGAATCCTGTGGGATCGTGAAATCTCTCCCTTCAAAATCTATACTGATAACCAAAGTTATTAAATGAGAGGTTTAATAAATAATAACTTTATTTGCTCCATAAAATGTACTCTGAGGTTGAGGGAGGGCTTCTTAATATGCTATTCTGAAATTACGTGATAAATACATATTTTATGGAAAGCAGATGATAATGCAATATGTGTAGAACATGAATCCCACCCACATAACCATACTTTAAAATACAACATAACTGACCATCAGAGGCAGAAGTTGAGATTCGAACAAAGGATGCACTGAAGATAAATAATTATCAAAATATGATTTGGGGAGGAGAATAAGAATATCAAAGGTTATTCGCAAACATGTTGCCTGCAATCCTGAGCTCATGATTCTATGTGTTGATAGCTTAAATTTGTTGCCTCAAGTAGATAGCCCATAACACCACACACCTTTAAACCTTTTGCAAACTACAGACATAGGTAATGAAATAATTATCAGTCACCGGGGGTAGGGGGAGATAATAGACTTGTACATTATATTGGCATCGTAGTGTGTGTCTTTACTGGGAAGTATCTGAATTTCAATGATAGCTTAACTGTTTGGATAGTGCATCAAACCCACGTCCCATCTGCCCTCCCTCCCTATCCACTGTAAAGTTATGCAAGCTCTTGCACTTGCATTTGATGTGGAATATAGATGAAGCTGCTGATTGCTGCTCCGCTTCTGTCCTTGAACGCTTTGCCAGCTTGCTGTGTTCAATAATTGTTTTTAGATAATTTTAGTACTTATGAATTTTACCTGAAACCAAAGTGGTCTCCATTAGAAATGTTTGTCCCATTGCTTTAACTATTTCTAGTTAAATATATGTTATTCAACAAGCAGTTACAATATTTCTTTATCTACTGTGACCCTGTGGATTTGGACTTGGAAGGCTGTCAGCAATGATGAGGAGTCTCCTCCCAAACCAAGCTTTTTCATTTATGTTCATGTATACATGGACTGATGCACATGGTACATGTCTGACAGATGCAAACTGCGTGCCAAGTCACTTTTGCCAAATGAAAACAGCAGACTGATTTGCGAATTAATTGGTTGAAGAAAGATCACTGTGTCATACTCCATCCTGTGTGCCATAATAAAATACTAAAAAACCTAAATTAGATCAGCATGAAGTCTTTTGTAAAATTTTCTCAAATTCAATACTGAGCCAAGTATCCCTTTTCTCTCTTGCCTCTCCCAAAAGCTGCAGTCCTTCTTCTTCTTACAGACATTGATCTTGCTTTGCACTCATCTGAGAGGCAGAGCCTGAAAGAGCAAAAGTCACTCATAGTTTCACCGTAATTAAACCCCTCCTATTGTTTCCTGTTTCTTTTAACATTAATTTCCACATCTTTAAGGCGATCTTGATCTTCAAGGCCCACATAGACCCAATCCCCACCTATTGCTCCAGTTACATCCTCTGCAACCTCTGCTCCTTGACCCCAGCACTTCAGCCATTCTGAGCTGTTCACCGTCTGCCCCCTGCTGATGGCTCTGTCTAGATTACTGCTCTTTTCCACCCTTCCCTCAATGTTGCCTAACCCATTCTTCATAGATTCTTGAGATTCAGGCTTAAGAGTTAACCTCAAAGAGAAGCTTTTCCTGATCTTCTGTGATAGGTTAAATTCCTCTATTATGTCATTACTAAAAATCCGTCATCTGGAAGGAATTGTTATTTTTCATGTAAAGTTTTATTCCTAAAATTAAGTTGGAAAGTTTTTAACTTAGTCATTCTCTCCTCATAAGGAGTTTTCAGTACTGTGGGTATGTTTGTTGTGCCTTGGGTTCTGTTCTGTATACACTGTCTGGGTTGATTCATTTAGTGGTTCCTTTCTCTACGATATCAGGTGTCCAGGATGATTGCCAACCCCAGCTTACAGCTGAGAGACTAAGGTGAAGTGACCAGACCACATGTGCAGATGTGGGATTCATACTCATGGTTCAGCTGTGTCATTCGTATTCTTAAGCAACCCATCACACTGCATCTTTGCAGTCAGTTTGTGAAGCCCACTGGAGAAACCGGAGTATGGCTTCCTAGGCATGTTTAGTGGCAGTAGTCAGGGTATTTTGTACTAGAGAGTCAGAACTCGTACCTGGCAGTCCTTGTAGCACTCAGGGCCATGCATGTACTCAGAACATCCCGTTGTACAGTCTTTCCCCTTTATGTTCACACTACAGTCAGAGCTGACTCACATCGCCGACAGTGGTCCTCTGAGATGGTATTGCGTATTGACAAGGCGGTCATCTCAGCTTGTGGGAGTAAGTAGGCTCTATGATGTTTGCACAGCAAGGGAAATTGTTTATGACATCTTTCTCAAACTATCTGTGTCACTAATGAACACATAACTGCAGTTGGGAGGGCTCAAGGTTTCTTTTCACTCCTCCAGTTGTGGATGCCAATATCTAAATCCTTCTGCTTTGTGGTAAGGTTTTGGGAGGCAGAAATAAAGTCTCGTGATCAAACATGCCCTTGAAATATAAAGCATTAAGAAGCAACACTTTGGGGGCAGTGTAGTTTGAGTCCTGTCTGCTCCACTTTCCATCCAGCTCCTGCTTGTGGCCTGGGAAAGCAGTGGAGGACGACCCAAAGCCTTGGGACCTCGCACCTCATGAGGGACATCCAGAAGAAGCTCCTGGTTCCTGGCTTCTGACTGGCTCAGTTCTGACTGCTGCAGCTTTTTGGGTAGTGAACCAGGAGATGAAAGATCTCTCTCTTTTTTGCTCTCTCTCCCTATAACTCTGACTTAAAAAAAAAATCATAAAAAAACAAGTTTTTTAAAAAAAATTACTTATTTGAAAGGAAGAAGAGAACACCAACACACACACACACACCCTTTCTAACTGTTGATTTTCACTCCCCAAATGGCTACATCAACTCAACTGAATTAGGCTGAAGAGTTACAATCTCCATCCGAGTCTCCTACATCAATGGCTGGGGACCAAGTACTTGGGTCACCTGCTGCTTTTCCAGGAACATTAGCAGGGAACTGCAATACAAGAGGAACAGGCAGAATTCATAGCTCCTCAGAAATGGGAATACTAACATCTCAGGCAGAGGCTTAACCCACTGCACCATAATGGCAATCCCAAGAACCATGTTTTTTTTTTTTTAATTTATTTTTTTTGACAAACTTGATATACTTAGGGTAAAAAGGTTCAAACGCCACAGGAAGATGGGCAAGACAATTAGTTCTGTATTGTTTCCTTGAATCATCAGTCTTTAAGATGCTAGTTCTCAAGGTGTTATTCTTTTTTTTTTTAAAGATTTATTTTTATTATTTTTTTTTTATTGGAAAGGTGGATATACAGAGAGGAGAGACAGAGAGGAAGATCCTCCGTCCGATGACCCACCCCCCAAGTGAGCGCAACCGGGATAGAACCGGCGCCCATATGGGATCCTGGGCGTGCAAGGCGAGGACCTTAACCACTGTGCCACCGCGCCGGGCCCTCAAGGTGTCATTCTTGTATCTGGTCACAAGCTCTTAGAGCTGTTGATCTTTCATTGCTCCCCGATTGTCTCTTCTTTACCTTCTTCAGCTCTTTTTCCTTCCCGTCTTCAGCTGCTCCTTCTTTATCCTCTTTTTCTTCTTGCAAACCTATCAGGTCTACCTGTTAGGTATTTGAAGCCATTTGGGGAGGCAAGGTGAAAACTGACAGAATAAATAAGTGTCTTTGTTTCTAGAATATTCAGTAAAACACCATTTAACATTTAACGAATTTAAATAATTTTTTTAGCATTTCAGCAAATGTTTCTGGAAAGGCAGAGTTTAATATTTGTGAGGACTTTCTATGCACATGACAGATTTGAGAATTTCTCTCTTCTCCCTTGGGGACAGAATGTGAGAAATTAGAATTGGTCCAGGCATGATTCATTTGTAAAAGGCTCCTGGTGGAGAATCCAGGAGGTTTCTTAGGAAAATGTCCAACTAAATGGAGTGCTATGAATTATACCAGTGTAGCAAATGATACAATGCACAGGGGGGCTGTTTTCAATTTAAAGTTTTCTTGAAAATTTCCAGGGAAGACTCTTCAATAAGGACTAGGATGGCAAAAAGTAAAACACCATGGAGAGGGGCCCGACACCGTAGTGTAGTGGTTAAAGTCCTTGCCTTGCATGTGCCGGGATCCCATATGGGCACTGGTTCTGATCCCAGCAGCCTCACTTCCCATCCAGCTCCCTGCCTGTGGTCTGGGAAAGCAGTTGAGGACGGCTCAAAGCCTTGGGACCCTGCACCCCGAAGAGCTCCTGGCTCCTGGCTTCAGATTGGCTCGGCTCTAGCCGTTGCAGTCGCTTGGGGAGTGATTCATCAGACAGAAGATCTTCCTCTCTGTCTCTCCTCCTCTCTATATATCTGCCTTTCAAGTAAAAATGAATAAATCTTAAAAAAAAAATCATGGAGAGAAAGAAATCTTCAGCAGCACCAGAAATAAACTATTCTTTTGTAACAACTTGTGTCATTTTGCTTTAATATAGACAATTATCTTATATGGAAAGGTTAAAAATAACATAACTATTGGCAAAATTTTAAAGGAAAAAATACATTTCCTACATTCAAATCCAACTATTTTCATTTTTTCAATTTGTGTACATGATTCCACAGATCATCCATTCACAAGATAATTAAATGCTATTTTACAGATGGTGTTTACAGTGCAAACATTAAGACAGAAAGTATGCCTGCTTTGAGCCACATAACAATAGCATGCGTGTGTGTGTGTGTGTGTGTGTGTGTGTGTGTGTGTGTGTGTTTGTGTGAGTTGGTATGTATAAATGTCTCAAACACCGAGCCTGGTCACTCGAACAAATGCCAAGAGTCGAGAGTGGATGCTTTGCAATCAAGCATTCAAGCATTTATTCAGTCAAGCACACACCAAACAGGATGGGGGAAGCCACCGAGAGTGCCTCTTGACTTCGGTCTCGTGGAAGTCTGCTGGGCCTTTGGCTCCGGCCTCGTGGGAGCCTGCAAGTTCGAGTGGAAGCCCAGGGGCTTTGGCTCCGGTTTGGTGGGAGCCTGCTGGCTTCAGTGACTGGGACAAATGTATGGGTTTATATACAAATCCAGGGGCAAGGCAGGCAGTTAGTTGTTTACAATGTTTTGATTGGTTATTACATGTTATCTATCAATAACACTTGCTTTCTCTCAATTCTAAGAAACATGCATATTCATTCTCAAAACATACATATTCATTAGTATACAATTGTTTCTTTTTTATCATTTTTACCATGACATGCTTACGTACATTGTGGCTTCTTGACAAAGGTGATAAGGGGAGGGCTTGCGCACATGGGAGTCTGTTGACAGGAGTGATAGGAGAGGAGGCCCCATTTCACCAGTAGTTTAGGAAGATGGAGTCACCTTTGTTAAAAGACTCTAACATACACACCATATCCATTATTAAGTCACAGCATAACTTGCAAAGGAGGTCTATTATTGCAGCTATCTCTGGGTCATCAATTTCTGATAAAACTATAACAATATTAAGGATGCAATTAAGATTATTAATAGTACTCCAACCCATATTTCCCAAAGCTCCATTTTTATTTATGGTCATATTTTGCTGGAGCAATGTAAATGTGGAGTACTTATAGTCAGACTGTTCCTATCAATAAACAGATAGCAGTCAAAGCAAATGCTCTTTGATCAGAATTAGGTAATATTCTTAGTAATGAGGGCTCTGAACAGAGGGAATAGCACAAGAAAAGCTTGCCTACTTTGAATTTAGAAAAAGGCATTATACTCTGAGTAGTAAGAACAGAGAGTAGAAGAAAAAGCAGGGAGAAAAACAAGCAAAAACCAAAGATCAAGAAGTTCAGATTTTATTTCTCCTATAGTTGGATACTTTTGAAGCGGCTAAACAAAGCAAGGTATTACAACCACATTTATATGTTGTAGGACTACTCAAGCTCCTTTATATAGAATGGATTGTAAGGGGGCAAGCACTGTGGCACGGTGGGTTAAACCACCTACAGTGCCAGCATCCAATCTGTGTGCTGGTTCAAGTCTTGGCTACTCCACTTTTGATCCACCTCCCTGCTAATGGCCTGGGAAAATCAGTGGAAGATGGCTCAGCTGCTTGGGTTCTGTAGCCACGGAGGAGACCTGAATGAAGCTCTTGG